AAAATAATATATATATATATATAATACTAGGAAGAACGAAAATGTAGATGTGTAAGAACGGGTGTTCCACTCAGAAACGACTACAGGGCTTATTTGAAACGCTGCCAAACTCGTCACCTGCTTCACGTTGATAGTAGACGCGACTACTACTCCTTTTTCTATTTCCTATTTTGCGTATATGTAATCTATATGTAAATCATACGTGATGGGTAAAGTAAATGTTGAATGAAAAGAGGGAGTAGACTATATACAGAGAGAAAGTGTGTGTGTGTGAGAGAGAGAGAGAAAGAGAACTTTGAATGATAGCGTGCAAACGGTAGATACAGTATCGTTGACTACCGAAGCCAACACGATGAAAATCGTCAGACCGTGAACGAATGCTATTCGATGAAATAACAAAAATATTTGATTTATGCTAATATATATCTGATTTATGTGATATTATCGAGATAGTAGAAGAGGGGTAGCGGGTGAGAGGGGGGGGGCAGGCAGGCAGAAAAACAACAACAACAACAACAACAACAAAAATAATAGAACAAAAATAAAGACGAGATTAAGTCAGTTTGATCGGTGTTACGAGTTGTTGGTTGAGCTCCAGTTAATTACAAACAAATCCCATTGGGTATACCATTAATTAGAGTCCGTTGTATTATCATCTGTCGTGTTAATACTGACGTTCATTTACATTATTTTTTTTTTTTCCATTTGAATAATATATCTTTACATATGTAGTATACACGTGTGAATATATATACGTATATCAAAATAAAATTATATAATATGAAAAACGATATTATACTTGTTGTTTTCCAATAAAATTTATCATTTCCTTTAATTAAATGTATTTTTGACAAAAAAAAACAATTACGTTCGGGACATTTAAATTTGAATCGTTTGTACAATTAATAATCCATTTTGTCGTGACTGAAAAAATAAAAGTAAAATGAAAAGTACGTTTGGTAAACGTCTTATCGAATTAAACGTTGGAAAAGTGGTGTAATATAATGCGAAAGTTATCGAATAATTTCTCCGATTTAATCGACCTGGGGTTACCGAGTATAAGGGGGAGAGGGTTAAGGGGTATGGAGAAACTTCCCAGTTTGGGTTATCGATGAATTGAATTTGAACGAGACAAATCGGTTGGTTTTAAAGGTAGGAATGGGGGCTTGTGACGTTGGGGGATGGGGGGTAGGGGGATAGGGGGAGGGAATAACGTTATACTTTTCTGTCGATAAAACGAGAGACAGGGAATATTTGGGTGATAGTTTGAATGATAGAACCTAAAGGGTTGGGTATTAACGAAAATTTCAATGAAAATTCGATCGGGAATCGCTAGGTTTCTGTCTCTCTCTCTCTCTCTACGTTTACATGTCGATGAGCATGCATACATACATACTTACACACACACACACACATACGTATTCAATGGTTCGTGGCTTTCTGGGTGAAATAATAGTACAAATCCGAGAGAAATTATTCTGCGGTGTGTCCAATGTACCAAGCATGGATCCGGAAACGAATTCATTTGGTCGAACGTTAGAATAGTACTTCTGTGGTTAACAGTAACTACGATAGGACCATGAACGAGATTGCTATGATCTTCGATTAATATAGAACATCTATAACATATATGAATATACATATATATATATATATTTTTCTTTGGTTTTGTTTTTTTTTTTGTCAGACAATTAATTATAATTGCATTCGTATTCGTGGTCGACAGAATGGGTTGTATAGAATTTTTTTCTTTTTTTTTTTTGAGGTGAACGTTGTTTCGTTACGAACCATCAACGTTGATTGTACGATCGAGTTATGGGTGACAATATAAAAATAAAAAAAAAGAGATACAGAGAAAGAGAGAGAGAGAGAGAGAGAGAAAGAGACACGAGGGAGGGAAAGATGACGTTACGAGGAGACTCTCTCTCTCTCGTTATTCGAGAGAACAAAACTCGCTTGATTTATATTATACGACGTAACCAAATTTGTATACACGAATTACCATAATCTGGTTGGATGGCACATTTCGTTGCTAGGTAGGTGCGGCGGTGTTGTTCACAAGATAACGAGTATAATGAAATTTTCTGTGATTAATACTCGAACAAAAATAACAAAATTATAAAATAAAAATAAAAATATAGAAGAAGTTTATAAAATTGTTTAAATACACGTAGAAACACATTTAGAAGATAACATTAGTTAGTTCGAAAAGTCGTTTTCGTTTTTTCTTTTGTAAAAAATGAAGATAATTTTTGCTTCGAGATTAAACTTAAATCTTTCAAGTGGTCATAAATAATTGAATTTGATCAATTTTAAGCTCTCATCGATCTCATGTGTTACTATTTGTCGGTTTGGCATCAACTAATGTCATTATTGTGTCAGACAAAAAAACGGAAACGACTTTAGAAAACCACTTAATAGATAAAAGATGGTTTATAAGATTGTTTAAATACACGTAGAAATATATATTTAGATTGTATAAACAATCGAGTTAATATTCTTGACTAATAAAGTTAAGATTTGGTGATATCATATAGTAGCAAAGATTCGCAGGTTGATAAAAGGTGGAAAAGATCGGAACGATTTATCATCTTTAAAATATATCTCGACGTTAGAAGATGACGACGACGACGACGACGACGACGACGACATCCATCTGAATCTAA